ATTTTCTGCACCAGCACATCCATCGTCATTGGGGTCTTTCTCCTCACAACTTCCTTTATGTGGCTGAGCTCTTTCTGGATGCCACGGAAGTGCTTCTCCCAGTATTGCTCTCATTTTTCTTACTGGAAAGGGAGTAAATCATTCTTCTCGATCCTGTCATTCTGATTGTGTCCCTCTTCATTCTCACCATTCCTAGGAGGCAAAGGGCGTGGCTATTCTCTCCCCCTTCGTTGACTTCTTTAAGGGGTTCGAATGCTAATACTCTCCTTGCGGAAGACCTCTTTGGTCTGGTCTGGTCTGTTGAGGACCTTGTAGGAGCTTTAAGAGCTCCTCATTCTGCCGAAGCAGGGGTTGGTTTACTAGGTGCGAAGGGCTTTCAATTCATTATTCGATGGGAGATCGATCTTAGGGGGATCGATTTCAGCGGCGGGGACGAAATTCTGAGGGTTTTCGTGTTGCTCCTTGTTAGTGGCATCTTGTTAGTTTTGGATCCGTGAGGGCTTCATTTGATTTCTGCTCATGTTGCATGTTGAGACCATCAATCACCGAAGAATCAACATATTTGTAATAGGAACAATCGTTCCCACAGACAACGTCAAACTGATGGTGTAATTAGGCAGATGAGCAGAAAATACGTATCACATAAACAAGTTGTAATCTGAGCTACAAGGCTCGTGAAGACTATGGAAATATCCTTGGGGATTGGGATAACTTGTAAAAAAGAAATATAGTGGTTCACCGAGCTCGGGAGCTCGGATAATCTACTCTTGAAGAGAGTTTCTTGCTCTTTGGATTTGTATTAATGTCAGATGCAATTTACGGAGTATCTCTGATAACACTGGGGTTCCTCCCCCTACATGGGAGGCATTGTACAATATTTATAGCCATGTTCCTATTACTAAGGGATATACGAGATTTTTGCTCTTCATTCATGGGATCTTCCTTGGTTTCTGGAGAGAATCTTGGTTGGTTAAGAGTCCTGTACCTTGATTATAGTCTCCTACTTGATTTCCCTCCTGATTTCTTTGAGGGGAGCTCGAGGTCTGTCCATAGGAGCTCTGGACAGCTGACCCGCTCTCCTAGTCTGACCTCCATACCCAAGCTCATTCTTAGGATTTCTTCTGGGTATCATCAGGACCCATTGCAACATTACATGCATTCAACTATCATTCCATTGATCACAATGCATCATGTCCCAATAGCATTGCTCTTTCATAATACTTTTCATGCATGCACCATGTTAATTCATGTCTCCATGATGTGTATACACAATTCATGATATGCACAAAATCTATGGGCTTGAGCATGTCACTAATTATCACTAGCATTTAGTTGGATGTATAATCTTAGGGGGACTTTTCTTGAAATGACTTGAAAATGTATTACGAAAAATGTTGAGAATCACCATGGCTACCTAGTACATAAAAAATAGGTTCTTACAACATTGGTTTGTTGAGTCACCACTCACAGAAATAGACTTAAACTTGCATGGGTTACCAGAGTCAAGAGAGAAATAGCACCCCAACTTACTTATATAACTTCAGGTCTGATAGCCGAGTTGATGACTTTAGTATCTCTCTGATTATCATATATTTACTAGTTGTATGGATATTGTATGTCCACAGGTCATAAGCCTTACCTTTTGATGGTGTGATTTACACAGTTATGTAGTAGAGTTCAGGGCTAGAAAAGAGGGAAAGGATTGAAGATTCATTAAGGACGCTAATGGAGTTCAGTGGAATACCCAGTCAGAGCTACTAGGCTCTCAACGATTAAATAATTGAGAAACCAAGATAATAACATAGAATAAAAATCAATAGATAGAGGGTTTATATTGGTTCACCAGCTTGGAAGCTTGACTAGTCCACTATAATAGAGTCTTTTGCTCTTGGGGGAGTTTTCTATTGTTTGGGGAAGACGATTACAATGCCCTTGAGAGTCAATTCATAGGTATTCAATCTTTTACAATGTGAGGGACTGATCCCTATTTATAGTGTGTAGAAGCATGATCCTTGTGTAATCAACGTGAACTCTTCATGATTTTTATGGCCCAAGTGATGGGATATTTGGTCGTTGGAGGCTGCATTCCCTAGATGTGACGTGACCTTCTAGAGGGTATGAGCTATCACTGTTGTAGTGTGCAAGAGGGTCATGTTGGTGCCGACTCCCGATCAGCAATTCTCGAGCTCGAGATCATCAATTGAGAGGTCTGAGTTGGGTAGATTGGGATTAGGAGCTCAGCTCGTTCACTCGACCTTAACCGTCTTGACCTAGAACCTAGATGCTTATGTCATCATGCGGGCCCCTATTAGGGGTATGTCTCTAAGCTAATTTTGGGCTGAGCTTAATTGTTTATAATTTTTTGTATTATCAGTTGTCCCCCAGTCCTAAGCCAAGTTTGCCTTGCCTAACATGGATTGGGATTGAACTGCACTCCTGGATGTGGATAAGCTCAGCTCATATTCACATAGAATAGGTGTAATGGGAAATTTCTCAGGGATTTAGATGTCACTGAGGTGTGAGGAGTCACTTGTGTCTTCATTATCGTGCACGTTCAATGTTGTTGTGCCACATGTCCAACCGTACGAGTGCTTTAAATGCCTCCGTAGAGAAAATCGCAAAAATTCCATTCAACTTTTTTGGATTTTCAGATTCTTCTACGCTTTTTCCAGAAAACCCCCATCTCTTTACCTCTTACGATTACGTCTTCTTCCTCCTTTCCTTATCTTTCAAGCAATCTTAGTGAGTGCCAAGATTACTTAGAGGACTCTTGAAGCTTCCTTTACTTTTCCCAGGCATTTTTCTTGGCCTCTAACCATCGATCATCTTTGTTCTTTAGGTACGTTCTTTGTCCTGTCCCCTCTTTAGCTTTTATCTCCTATGGTTTCCTGATTAACTCTAGAATCCTCAAATTCGAGGTGGTTCTTCCACTTTTGGTTGTTCTGCTTTTGTTATTTTAGGAGTTCAAGTCAATCTTTATCTCATCTTCCTCTTTTGTTGGACCCCTATGGACTACTAGGGTTTTCCTCTTTGGTCATTGATGCTTGGATCCTCTATCAATTAAGGATTGTTCTTTGAACATTCCTTCTTTCTACACTTACTTTGGGTATTTCACTCCTTGTGCCTTTATGTTTGCTTCTTATAAGGCTACAAGGTCTTTTGTCTCCCTTATTATGGATGACAGATCTCCTCAAATCTGATCTCCTCATCATAGATGGATTGGTTCTGATGATGAGGACGATTTGCCAAGCTCCCCCAAGGTGAGTAAAAGCGTTAATTTGTCTAAACCTGGTGAGATTGATGACCTTGGAGACATAGGCAATGAGATAGATAAATTTCTCAGGACCGTCGTAGTCGAGTCCTAGGCTATTAGTGCTATCCCTTGCTCCTTCTTGGCTCAGCTACGAAGGCTAAGAGGTCTAGGAAGAGACGGGCTATAAAAAAAGTCTATGAGGCCTTAAGCTCAACTAGAGAAAGTGAAAATGCCTCAAGCACCTCAAATGCCTTAGGACCTAGTAGAATTACTCCTCCTCAGCATGGCACACTCTCTACCAAATGCTCTCGATCTTATCCAAAAACCACTTTCTCAAAAGCAAGGAATAAAGAGGGCATGGATGCCTTATTTTGGAGCCATGGTATAGTGGTCTATGGAATAAAAACATTGATGCATATAGAGTCACTTGCTGCCAAATATTTTATACTAAATAATCTTTTTGTATAGGTCTTATCATCCATTGGAATTGAAATGCCAATTTTTTTTGATAGTCCACTAGTCTAGAGCATGATGCTCATGCTTGTTGCAATTAAAGGTATGAGGAGGATTTGATGTATGTAGTTGTATTTGGTATGCATCAAGGCTATTTGCATCAAAAGGTTACAATGAAATAATCTTTTCTCTTGATGATACAATACCATACAATGAGCTATAGTTGTGATTCAAATGTCAACTGGTGCCGAGTCAATGAATGAGACTCTTGTTACTAAAGAGTTTGGATAGATTAGATGTATGTAGTCCTACCCTTGTATTCGGAGAGGCTGTTTTGCAATTCAAATCTTTGATGCAATTCAAGTCTGGTGTCCCAATGTTGACAACTGTTACAACACCATGCTTCCTAACAAGACTTGCTACTTCTCCGTTGCTTTTGAGAACGGGCTTAGGTTTTCTATGCATCCCTTCCTAAAGTCTATGCTCCAGCACTTCAACGTATGTCCAACTCAACTCTCCCCCAATTTTAGGGATATCCTAGTGGGCCTTATGGTTTTCTTTAAAGAAAACGGCCTCACGGGCTTTCCCTCTATTCCCTTACTTATGATTTTCTTTAGGGTCAAGTTTTCTTCTGTTGATAGCTTCCTTTATATTTTGAAATACGTGATGACTCACCCTTTGATAACTGATCTATTGACTTCCCACAAGGGTTGGAAAGATAGCTTTTTCTTTGTATTTGGCCAGGAATTGGAGTTCCAAGGGATGCTTTAGATACTCTTCCTGTGCCTCAAGCTTGGTCAAACCTAGATAACTTAGGTGATTCCATGCCGAGGTGTCTTAGTTGAGCTTTATTCTCATTTTTCCTTAAATTTTTAATTGCTAAAGTTTTTCCTTGTTGTTTTACATATCCCCCCTTACCTTAGTGCTGATTAAAAACTCCTCTTTCTGGAACTTAAGTAGTGTTCTTCAAGGAAGTACATCATGTTCATCTTGTCTTTGATCTTAGCTAAGCATGGATTAGGGTCGCAATTGGCAAAGGGTGAAGCTAATGTACCTCTTTCTGTTATTAAAGGAAAAGACCTTTGTAAGACCTTCTATTTTCATCCTATTTTGTAGGATCTGTGGCTTAATCCCTTGTTTTTCTTTCCTACTTAGATATTGATGCCATGACTCCAGATGTTGATGCCATTAAGGCAGAGCTGGTCAAGATGAAGGTTGATGTTAGAGCCTTAATGACCACCGAAAAAAGGAAGGCTGAGGTCATGCCCGATGCCGACCTGAAGCCTTCAAAAAAATGCCAAGGAAAGATCCCAAGAAGAAGACCTCTCCTATTCCTAAGCTACCTATAGACATTAGAAAGGTCAATGATCTTCCTTCTGAGCTAAAGAAGATTTTTGTAGAGGTGGCCAAGACCTTTTCCACACCTAAAGAGGTGATTAAAACCTTTGTGGAGGCTACCTTGTCCCTTCACGACCCCTTCCCAGCATAGACTTCAAAGGAAACACCTTCACGGGCGCTCAATGGCACATTGGGCAGCCCTTTAGCTAGTTTGTCCAAAGGTGAGCATCTTCTAAGTGACGTGAATCTAATCGCTAGTGTTATACTTTCAATCATTCCTTAAGTTAACATTTAGAAGGCTTCCTCGATGCCTTTTTCTACCTTAGCTACCGGTGCCTTATTCAAGGCAACCTTGGTGAGTTCTCGACTTCTATCTTTAGGGTGCAATGGAATCCTCTTGCTGACCTTTAACTTGAGTTTATTTCTATTTTCTATTTGGCAATACATATTGGTGCTTTGGTGGGGAGAGTTCGAGCTTCAAAGAAGGCTACCAAAGTTGCCAACAAATCCCATAAGACCTCTAAGCTCAAGGTTGTTGGGCTAATCTTTGAGAGTAATGATATCAAGAAGTAGGTTGAGGAGTTGAGCTCGTCTAAAGAGAAGTTCGAGACCGAGGTCAATTTGAAGACAAAATGTCTTGTGTAAGCTGGGAAGGATGTGGTGAAGGCTTGGGACATGGCGAAGTCAGCAAAGGATGACCTAAAGGAGATGAACATAGTCTGCAACACCGAACATAAGGAGTTCAAGGCTGATAAGTCTAAGGTGGCTGATAGAGATGCCATCATCAATGATTTGAAGGATGAGAATGCCACTGGCTGGGCCAAAGGCTGTTTTATCTTCCAAAAATAGGCCATGAAGAAGTACCCTGACCTAGACTTCGACTTCAAGCCTCCCCTTGGAGAAGAAGAGGAAGAGTAAGAGGGATCTTCGGTTGAGGAGGAAGAAACTAATGAAAAGGAAGCCGCATTTGTGGATGGGGTGAATTCTGACCTCACTTTGCCAGTGGTTGTTTTGGATGAGGTGGAAGACTCAACTCTTGCTCTACCTGAAGGTCAAACAAATCTAGTTCTTACTCTGCATGAAGGTCAGATGGATGCGGCTCCTACTCTGCCTGATGGTTAGATGGATGCCACTATAACTGATCCTGAGTTGCATGAAGACACTATAGTGGCTAAGAGTCGAGAAAAGACTACCACCCCAATTATAGATGTACAGCCTCAACTGTAGATGCATAGTTTCTCTGTTTTATTTTTAAACAATGATCTTTCAGCTCTGTAACTTCCATTTATTTTTAAATTGTTATTGAATTTGAAAATTTGTGTAATTAGTTCCTTTTTTTTTCTTTTTACTTGAGACTATGTAGAGATGTCTCATTCCTTGCCCCCTGTTTCAAGAATGGTCTTGATCTTCTAGGGCCAAGTCTGAGGTCTGCATGGTCCCCTAGACTTGGGATCATTGATCGTTTATGAGCTTGAAGACCTCTTTTTATATTTATAATCTGAAGAGCTCGTCCTTTTTTTATGAGCTTAAGAGCTAATCTTATGCTTATGAACTGAAGAGCTTATAGTGTGTTTATGAGCTGAAGGGCTCATAGTGTGTTTATGAGCTGAAGGACTCATCTTGATTTTATGAGCTTAAGAGCTTATCTTTTGTTTATGAGCTGTAGAGCCTATCATTTGTTTATGAGTTAGGAAGCTCATCTTATTTTTATAAGCTAAAGAGCTCATCGTACATTTATAAGATAAAGAACTCATCTTTTGTTTTATGAGCTAAATAGCTCATCTTATGTTTATGAGCCAAAAAGCTCATCTTAATTTCATGAGTTGAAGAGCTCATCACATGTTTATGAGTTGAAGAGCTCGACTTGTTTTTTAAAAGGACGAGCTGATACTTTAACTGTAAAATGAATCTTTTATTCACTAATTCAAAATCCTTACAAAGGACCTCTCCTTTTTTGCCTTCTAGCCTTACCTCACTATTGGTAAAACCTCTTCAAATGGTATGCATTCCATGAGTGAGGTTTCCTGGCCTAATGCTTGAGAAAATTCCTTGTTGTTTCCTAACCTCTAAACATCACCTTTTAGCATGTATAGTATATGGATGAAGGGGAGTGTCACTCTCCTTAGGATGATGTCAAAAGAAAGGGCAACGAAATGGTGGATGAATGAAATGTCAAATGTGTGTGTGTATGAACAAAAATGCTCCCCAAGCGCAAGGAGACTTTCACGGATCGTGTTTTACTTGGTGGTATTCCAAGGTCGTTTCCACGGGGAAGGAAGTAAACCAAGAGGAAGGTGATTTTGGGAGAAAGAAAGTGTAAAATCTTTGATTATTGGAAGTTGTTTTGATGCTTGTAAAATGAGAAACAAATGTTGGCAAATTCAAGAGGTCACTCCAATAGCAATACCGTCTCAACTTTAAACCCTCCTCCAATAGAGCATGAATGAACGATTGATTCATGGGAAGCTAGGGATAAGATTGGTGAGTGTCTAAGCATAAACCGTGACTAGGCCCACGGATTATCAAAGACTCACCAAGTTATCCACCCTTAACCCAGTCAAACTGAACCATTGAACTCTGAAAGAAGGGTGGAGAATGAGTTGAAAATGGTATACCCAAGTGGAGGTTCCCCTTGGTTTTGCCAAGAGATTTAGCTATTCATGCTTAAAATAAAGACAACAATATGATGAGAAGATATTATGAAGAAATAAAGACTAGAGCTAAGCACAAACGAAATACATAAATATAACTTCCGGATAATCACCTCTTACTAAAGATTGGATGAGAAATTACTCACTCTTCATGGCTTTGTTAAAGCTAGAAAAGTGAGTGATGCTCATTCCTCCAAGTAGAGGAATTACAAGGTAAAACACTTTACACAAGGAGCCGATCTTCGACAAAGAATGAGTGAATCACGTTCCACCCTTCACGGCTTTGGTAAAGCTCTAGAAAAGTGGAAGAGTTTCACTCCCCTAAGGGAAGAAGGAAGCTCAAGCAATGGAAGTAAAAGAAAGCAATAACACAATAAAAGAAAACAATACTTAATGTAAAAGAAATCAATAAATTAAAAGGAAGCAATAATACAATAAAAAAAAATAATACTTAAAGAAAACAATAAGCAATAAAGAAAGCAATAATACTTTTGGAGGATTTTTCACTACCAAAAGATAAATGCTTTACAAGTTCTAAGGGGTGGTATTTATAGGCAACAAGGGAGGGTGAAAGTATTGTTAGGTGACTTTAAATTACATAAAAGTCTTGTTAGGTGGCCTTGAATTACATGAAAGTCTTGTTTGGTGGCCTTGAATTCTTTGATCCCCCTTTATTTTGAGCTTTGATAATTGGCACCCCAGTAGTTTGTAGCTTTAATGTAATTGGCTTCCCAGTAGTTTGTAGATTTGACGTACAAAATCCTGAAAAGAACAACAATTAATGCATTATCCTTTATTCACACACTAACCCTAATTTGATTTATTTTGACTAGTTTAACTTTATTCAACTAACACAATTTACCTATTCAATTATGCCTTAATTAGGGTTAATCACACCCCCAACCTAAACATTAATAGTCTCTAGTAATAAATAACAACATAACAAAATAAAATCACTTTCGTAGATAACACGATTGCATTTAGCATATGCAATAAGCTGTTAAACCCCTAGGTGATCCCCAATGGACGAGTTTTATCTCATGAAGGTTTCTAGTGAAACTACTTACAAACTCCAATTAAAAAGATGTGTATATGTAAGATTTCTTGTCAAAATGAGTTAGCAACAGGATCGTTGAGACACACATCCCTTAATTTCGAATTGTTTGTCAAACACTTTTCTGTCATTGGTACGTACTCTATAGAAAAATAAACACTTATTACATTAGTATTTGAAATTCCCTGTGTAGTAGGAATGATCATTCTAGTAGCAAGAATTGTTATATAACAAACATTCCACTTTATCACCTTCCATAGATAGCTTTGATTTCTCAAACCTCTCTTAGAATGCTCTCTGCAAAAAATTCACTCCGATTATAGTGACTTGTTTCTCAAAGGGCATGTGATCAGAGGATGGTCAATCGAAGACTCATATGCACAGTTAGAAAGGGAGTGAAAGTCTTAGGAAAATAGACTAATCATTTTCTTGGCATAATCTCATGGAAGAATATCAATGCAATTAAAGAAATATTATTTAACATACCCCAGTTTTTGGTCAAGAACACACACATGCATCAGACTTGAGATCAATTAGGACTTTGTATAGGTTGTAATGTGGCCAGAGGTCAGTGGCTAACGAAATGACATCAATGGTATTCAAAAGCTATCCCCTATTTAATGTAGTGTAGCACACATCTTTCTTGTTTTTCGATCTTTTGCCTAGAAATAGTATTTCTTTCTTTCATTTTTCTCATTTTTCACTTTTTTGGCAATTCCCTGTTTTTTTTTCTTTCTTTCTCGGTTTTTTTCACCGATTCTTCATTGAACAGTAGCCACCATCTTCTTTTCTATTTTTCTTGTCTTTCTATATCATACCGATTTATAAGAGGGTGCAAAAAAATTGGATAACAAGGTATGTTAAGTGTATTTTCTTGTAGCTCGGTTATCATATGAGTTTTTTCGAAAAAATAAATCATTCATTGAAGGCTCAAACATGACTAACTAGGGATATAATTTCGTAAAAGCAATGGATAAGGCTCAAAATCAACTCAAAGATGGCCTAAAATCTTTTCTCAAGTATGTGCCTATGTATGTGTCGCATGCAAAGATTTCATGTGCGATATATCAATAGATTACTTTAGTTGCATTTAATCAAAGTAAGTTTAATGAGATTATTCAACAATTGAAAGTGAAAGAACTTACTTGAGTAAATGTTGATTGTCTCTCAGAAAACATCGTAAGGCTCAAAACTTACCATGGTATTCTTCGTTATCTCCACTGGTTATGTCAGGTTTTCAAAGAATATCAGTTATATTATAATTCTATTTTTGAGTCTGGTCATTCTGTACCTTAAGATTAACAAATATCAATGTACATTTGATATTTAAGCATAGAGAAAGTACCATTTTTCAAGGAAATGCAGCTTTTTTTTTTTTTCACTCGAATAAAAATCAAAGTTATTTACGTATACATTTATCTATGAAAATTGAAAAAATACTAAATGCACACATTGAACTTGAAAAACTATGGCGTCTCAGGATAAGTCCCTACCCACGCTACAGGTTGGCATTTTTGGACAATCCATACTCGGCCCACATCTTTATTTCAACAAAAAGACTTTGTACATAAACAAATATTTACACAAAAAAAATTCGGACCATTAACCTTCATCCCCAAAACACATTTTTCCACAGTTTTGTCATTATTAGTCAAAATTTAATTCGAGTCATCGCTTGTGTCTATGTCATTATTAATGACCCTTCCCACTTCTTGTCGCACATAACGTGTAAGTCCCGGATTGCTATAAGATGACGTGTCAAGAAAATCCTTACTCTGCCCATACACTATCCAGTTTAATCGATCGGTTGCACGACCCGAAATTGGTTCAGAACATTGATTGTATTTTTTCATGTGAAAACACCTGCCACATTGTTTACAAACACCCAGTCGTTTGGCATGATGACGTTTAGCAAAAGTACTTCTGCCACACAATGGTTTTGCTTGTGCTTCTCGGATTTCAATTTTTCTGACTACTCTTGCTTTTCTTATGATCACAACATGCACATCAGATGAAAATGTGCACAAGACTCCCAAACTAAACCAAAAAATTTTAACATCCATGATTTCTATGCTTTAAGACTCACGATCTGGTTCTTTAATGTCTGCAAGTCATAAACACGATTGAAGCTGTATTTGATGTGA